TTTTACTTCCAGTCTGACTTCTTCCTTAAGGATTTCGAAATTAATTTTGGAGGGAAAAAATTGTATGTGTTTTAAAAATCATATGGTATCAAATCGGAGCGCCATCTTTAATTGTGTCACGTGAATTCTTACATACATGTTTATATTAAATTATACTATGACATAATTGTATTAAGTTGAATAATATTGAAGTCATTAGGGTTTATTTAAAAGTTATTTTATTCAAGTTTATAATGTTGGTAAATTTTTTCTAATTACTATTCTCAAAAACCATTATAGGAAATATCAATATGGCGATGTATTGTTCGTATTATACAATGTAAACATTAACAATATTATCATGGTGTTATGTACGAGTTTTAAAGATTACGTTCTGTTTGTTTATTTTGTTATCGCAAAATGGACGCTTTATGCGACTGGCTGACAATCTATGTATGATTCATATGCCATTTTTTTGTTTACATTTTGCATAACATAATTATTTGTTTCCATTATGTACTTGTACACATAAAAATCTATATTTTTGTACTACATAATACTAAAATTAATACCAATACTTCTTACTTTTGATCTTTTTCTTATATCTCGTAGCGTTTTAAATATCGCACTTCCAAATAATTTGGAAGCTAAATATAGACAATATAAAGCGAGAGGGAAAAATATTAGTTTTTTTTTTAGATTGGATTTACCTTGTTTACCTTTTTGCTCGTTATCATTTAGAAAGAAATCACAAGATTTAAGAATTTATTGAGGGCAATTTAGATAAAAAAATATAAAACTTTCTCAGGAATAATAGTTCAAGGCGAATGCGAATACAATGTAGAAAAATAGAAACTTGTTTTTCACTCTGAGTTCAATATCACTCTCAAATCGAAACATAAAAAAATATTGATCTTAAAAGCCAAATATAGAAAATCCCTGTTTAGTAAAAAGGTTTTATTAATAAAATAGAATAAAATATATGTCGTTAGCTCTTTGCTTAAATAAAAAAAGGTATTAGAAAAAAGTTCTTATTAATGATTGTTTACTCTGTGGTTCTAAGTATTATACCGTTTTTTTTGAAGGTCAAACATGTCTTTTAAAATTGTTTATGGTATTCGTGCTCACGATGCGACGCGTCGGTATGTTAACGAAAATAAAACCAATAATGTGACCTTACTGAATTAATATACTGTAATAGCATTTGTAGGATTTGGGATTTTTTTTTACAGAAAATTATTTAATAAGAAATTGTTTTAGTTATATAATTAAATATAGTTTTATCTAGAGGTTAATCATAAGATGCCAATGTTTAAGGTTAGTGATAAAATTGGCGAGTTGTTCTTGATTGCTATTTGACCTCTGTTAGTGTGTGTGTCAAGTTGACACATTGTCGTAACAGATTAAAAATACATGCTACATAATATATTTTAAAAGAAGTATAAAGGATTTTTTGTTATTAAATGTCTTTATAGTCTTTTATGATCGAAGGGATCGCTAATACTGGTGTATTTTTATTAACATTTATAATTTAATTTGTATATAACGGATATATATATATATATATATATATATATATATATATATATATATATATATATATATATATATATATATATATATATATATTTCAACCATAATTTATATGATAATATATACAAAACATTAACAAAGAGCTATAAGACGCGTTCACATCGTAAATTTTACAGTCGCCAGACGGCGAGAGGAATATTAAGAAGAGTTGCCATTTTACAGTCAAAACATCCCTAAAATTAATTTAAATCACATGTCAATAAATAAGATAAATATTATATCATTTCAATCTTAAAATTGTGTTTTCTTATAATATATTGCAAATTGCTTAATCTTCGTTAACAATCCTTCGACTAGGAGAATATTTCCCAACATTACAACCTCCTTTTTGAATTGGCAACACTGATATTAAAATCAATATTTACTTTTAACTTATATTATATGACATTATGTTAATGTAATATTTGATAACGGGTTAGCAACACGTGTCCTTGATGTTTTTTTAAAGATAAATGTTTTAATAATAAAATATTTTATCATGAACTGTTTCCTTATTTACTGAAAACACTTTTTTTTAATTCTCAGTCAATTAGAAAGCACACAGTTGATTAATTTCATGACAGATACTTAGTTTGTATATAAAAATTTTGTATCTGTAATAAAATTTAACTAGGTTTTTGGTTCGTATTTAGTAAATCTGATATGACAGCTTATCTGAAGCCGTCAGTGATATCTTGATGTTAGAATTAAAGTTATAGAGCATTCTATTTTTTTTTATCAAAGATAGAGGCGACAACACCGATTCGTACCGAATTATACCGGTTTTTAAACTATTTTACTTTAGCTCATACTGTTTATAACTATAATAACCTTGCTTAGAGTACGTTGCTCCAAATTATGGTTCATACATCTGTATGTCAACAGCTTGCCAAGCTATTACGGGTGTGCTTACGGCTATGTGCATTATTTCACGACCTGACTCTTTTTTACGTTGATAGTATGTCACTTGTCTATTATAAAGAGCTAAAAATAAACGAGTTCGTGTTTTAGAAAATAATATTTTTAATATACGTCCATGTTTCAAAACAGTTTATTTTTTTATTAATAATGAAATATTACGATATTAAAGAGATTTATATAATTCTACGAGCGAATCAATTCCGAAAATAGAATTTTGTTTTACGATGTTCCTACAACAGATTTTTTCAAGATGGCTTCCGGGGATCTTTACATAAATAATTTGTATGATGAAATCGATTTTAATATTACGTAATATTTAAAAATTACTAAATAGTAAATACGTATGACCTGTTTTATAATTTAATTTTATAAAATAATCGTATGACATACGCGTCATTTTTCACTAATAATTACTGCTGGGAATATAATAGAGACTTATCAGCATGGTTAAATTATATTTTATTAGTAGGTCGAATTAGGATACCACCATAACAACATGCTTCGTAAAAATACAACGCACTCGCTGTTGTGTATTAGATAACGCGTGAATGGCAAAGAATAAAAGGTGTTTGAATTAAATGTTAATACAAAAATATACATAATACTTAGCCCTTAGGTGATTTCATTAGTGGCTGATAGCTAAAAAAGAATTATATAGTTATTAAGGTTGCGCCATATATGAGACTAATATTATAAACGCGAAAGTAGCTCTGTCTGTCTGTCTGTTACGCTTTCACGCCTAAACTACAGAACTGATTTTAATGAAATTTGGTACAGAGATAGAGTTTACCTACAGAAAGAACATAGGATAGTTTTTATCCCAGACTTTTGAAAGGTTCCCTTGGCAACGCGATATAACCGAACTCCACGCGGAAGAAGCTGCGGGCGGAAAGCTAGTATGAGATAAAAATTAAAATCATTTTTGAGTTGAAATTTCTTATGCGAATATCAACAAGGTTGCGTTAAAGGTATAACGCTTCGTGGAGGGGGGAGATAGAAAGAGACAGAGCGAGAGGGAATGCGTGTCGCGTTAGAATGAATCCTTGCAATCAATTGTGATTTGTTATTAATGTGAATAAAGTTTGTCATTAAAGAAAGAGACTTTTTTATGCAACGGAGCAAAGGCTTACCTGATTGAGGTAGTACCGTCGCCCGTGAACATCCGTATCATAGATTTGCGAATGTATTGTCACCTTTGATCGGGGAATAGGAGGAAAAGGTGGGAAAGGGAGGGAAAAGGGAAAGGGCAACCGGTTCTCTCACTCATCGGCCGAAAAGCAGTCATTACTGACTACTTCACGCCGATCTTCTGTGAGAGGGTGGTACTTCCCCGGTCGAGCCAGCCCATGTTTGAGGAGCAGTAACTTGACTACAGCTAGGCTCTACCATCTCAGAACACTCAAAATTCCTTAAAAAACAATTTCTACCCCTTCCTGCTTTCATTCCAACATTACGAAGTTTTACTTCTTTCGCGCTGAGGTACTCCACGCACTATTTTTTTCCCAGAATTAAAAAATAGGTATGTTGTATTTAGTTTCATGTCAAAATACCCTTTATAACTTTATATAATACTGGACTTTAATTTGAGAACTTAAGAACATTTTTTTAATAATAAAGGTATTTTTATCTTTACAAGTTTTTAAAGCAAAGGTTGCTTTTATTTCATTTATCAGAAGTACTATTCGTTTGCGATTTTGTAAAGGGGTTTTGTAATGGTCTGGATCTATGGTTTTTGTTGTAATTCTCAAACTTGATACTGTAAATATTTTTTTCTCGCTCCAAGCTATCTCGAATGTTTATCGTAAAAATTTAAACATACTAATATCTGTTATACAGTATAAATTAGTATCGTCACACTGCATATGAAAAGTTTACAGTATTTTGGACAAAAAAGTTAATACGATCATAATTCATATGCATAGATTTATGAATGAGACTTTACCCTTACTTACTCGTGGAAATGTTTGGCATGGTTATAGAATTTGACCATAAAAAGATATCATTATCCATGTTAATTATTATTATTCTAACAATAAATGCTACGTAGTTATAATTTCGTTATGTGTTCTGACTATCTTGAGAACATATTCATAGTAGAAAGATTTATTTATGCTCAAGTTAAAAACAAAACTATTATAATAAAAATTAAACATCAAGAATTATTCACCGTGTCAAATAATAATATGTTCAAAATTATATCGACGGAAGGACTACGAAAAAAACGAGTTTGAATATTCTTAGTTTTAAAATTCTTATTTAGAATGTATTGAATTTATTCTGTCTCTGAGATATCAACTATAGAAGGTATAAATCCTCAACCTCTGTAGGTATAACTTCGTTATTAATCTATGTATGTTTTGATGTTATACATGTCAATGTGTGTTGTGTTTACATCGCTGCGTGTCTGTGTGTGCGTGCGGCCGTGTATTTATTTTAGACAGCGACCAGCCTCGGCTCAGTCCTCGATCCTCATCGAGCTGTTCAAGTGTCGTGATTTGATATCCTAAGTCAAAGTAATAGAGTTCAAAATGTCCGCTTCACCGATCGCCAGGCAAGCGACTTCCAGTCAGGCTATACCATCTAGAAGAGTCCTGATCTCCGATCCGGCTCAAATGCCTGATGTATATTCCAGTACACCAGGTGGCACCATCTATTCAACCACTCCAGGAGGTAATTTCAACTTTACTCCAATAATAATACAAACTATAACCTATTACGATAATTCATAACAATAAAATCATTATAACAAATCGTCATCGTGTTTTCAAAATAATGTATCGTATGTTTGAAAACAGGGATTCAAGGTTAATTGGCGTTTAAAGATAGTCGAGCTAATAATAATTCAATTTACACACTCACACAACTACACATAAATGTTCATACTTCAAAAGTTGTCAATAAATATTACATAAGAGCCCATTACAGAATTTGGGTTAGTTGTGACTGAAAACGAAATGTTTGGGTTAAATTTGTACATAAATTGACACTGAATTTTAACGTAATATGAGAATTTTAACCCGGGATTAAAATAGATATTGTAAATACATTGACACGACCGGCGATCGTTGACCTTGGGCCGATCTACTACGCAGTTCGGAAACACGTGTTTTTTTTGGTTATGATTCCAGATAGTATAATATTATTTCATGTACATATATAATATTTTATTAAAATTATTATTTAAATATCACTAATTTATATACTTGTCATTTATTCTGTGTATTTTACAAGTAATTTAAATATTTACCTAAAATATTTGTTTTTGAAATATGACCAGTACTATTTTATAATTTTATTAAGAATATCAATATAATAAATTTCTTTATTTTTACTCGTATAAATCCTTATAACTAATGATTAATATATTGTCTTAATTTATTTTCCAGGTACACGTATAGTTTACGAGAGATCTTTCATGATGTCTCTTCGTCAATCGCCTATATCGCAGACGCCGCCAAAATGTTCTCTACCGGCCGCTCTGTTAAAGAACCCACCTTCCTCTTCAAACTCGTCAGCCCCACCGGTACAAAAACCACGTTCAAATTCCATATCATTCGACGAATCACAAGAAACATTCAGTATGGATCTCTAAATAATTAGTTTAAGTCTTGTATTACATAGTTTTTTTTTTAAATTTTTCAAACAGAATAACAGACTTCGGACTATATTTAAGCTTATGCTTCAACCAATTCAAATTTATCTAGTCATAAATAAATGTAATTGCAGGATTTTAAAGTCTTATAAGATGCGTCTTATATATTTTTTTAATGAACTTTTACATGTTGTCTGTATTCGACTTTGAAACTAGGTATATTGTTATGATAGAAACCTAGTTTTAAGTTTTAGGTTATAACGCGCGACTGAAATGATATTTTTTTTCGGCGTTTGAAACGCAGTCCTTTGTCTTCAAATTAAGGTCACAATTTTTAATGGAATGGTTGTTGTTTTTTTACAAACAATATAAAGTGTTGTTTTGTAAACAAAGTCAAATCTGGAGTGTGTAATAGCTATTTTTTTTTAATTTCAAGCGGCAAAGGATTTACTTATAAATTATTAGGTTTAATATGCGTTTGACGCACAAAATATATTTTTAGTGTTTCTGTATTTCAGCAAATGCCATTATATGTAGAGGTTAATATTAAGATGATTTTACTTCTGATAATGGTCTTGCAAAATAAGCAATCTCAGTATGATTTGGGACATTTCTTGTTTTAAGTGTTGTGGTTGGAATTAATCGTTTATTTCGATATTATTAGAATATTGGTATTGTCTTTGTTTAGTAATTTAAGTAATGCAGAAAGGTTTAACTTGATATTATTGCCAGTTACAAAAAAAAAATAATAATAAAAAATATGTATTTTAAAATTAAAAATTTGTTCTATTAGACTGTTATGAAAATTGTTAATTATGTGTAAAAAAAACTAATCCAAAGCATTTAATTTTTTAAAGCTGAGAGTTCTCATCGCCAAAGTAAGATAAGGAGTGATAGTTGATTAAAACTTGTTATTATAAAACCTTTTTATTGGTTTTAATGTTAAAATCAAACGACTGCCAATTATTCAAATAAAAAAAAATATATAAAAAAATGTTTCCTTTTTTTCTTGCTACGTACATACATATATTATTATCATATAAAGATTATGATGCAACTTTTTCGTAATAAAATTAAAATGTTCGCGTCCCCTTGTCTGTCTGTCTGTTTCAAGCAGATAGAAGGGTTAGGAAACATTTAGTGATTCATTAGTCACCTTCGAGGCCCCCAAGGCCCCAGGGCTTTAAGGCCCCCTATTAATATCTCCCTACCTTGATTCCTTACCACATGTGTCCTTGTAATTACGTCTCCTACAAATTTTTCGTGTTCATATAACTTCGTCACAACGATTAAAGATTATTTATTATGGCATTTGATGAATTCATATTTATTTGATAACTTTTTTCAATTAAAAGATTTAAGTCTTTTTAATTATTATATTCTTTATTATCTTATTATTAACGCCCACACACACACATATATTTTTACGTATCGGAACAGCTCATCGGCATTTATGAAAATGAATTTCACATCTTCACTATCAGAAAATAGGTTTATAAAATGTATAAACCTTTTTATAGGCTAAAACTGGATGAATGATGGAGTAATTTGGGAAAACAACTAATAATAACTAAAATCAAATACCTCTCATATGGGATGAATTAATTGAAATCAAAACTATCATTGTTATTTCATTACAAGTTTCTATAGTGTTTGATTCAGTTAAAATCTTATAGGTAAACAATCTTAAACAAACTTTTGTATTCGATTTATGTACAAGATATTGTCGCTGAAGTAATTAAACTATTGATTTTCTTTAGTCTGTTCTTTTAATGGCCGCGATAATGGCGGCTTATTTATAATAACTTATTTTATTATTTTAACTAATTAAAAATATTATAATGGATATGGCGTCTTTTATTGTGTACGCAGAAATGTTAGCTTTATGAAATATTGCAGTTTTCTACTCAATGTTATTGAAGAAATGCGGCATACTTCTAATGAGAATCCCTACTAAGTAATATTATAAATGCGGAAGTAACTCTGTCTGTCTGTTATGCTTTCACGCCTAAACCACTGAACTGATTTTAATGAAATTTGGTACAGAGATCCATCTCTCAACTCCAGTTGATATTGAGAAAGAACATAGGATAGTTTTTATCCCAGACTTTTGAAAGGTTCTCTTGGAGACGCGATATAACCGAACTCCACGCGGACGAAGCTGCAGGCGGAAAGTTAGTTAATTATAATAAAACAAAAAACTTATAATTAAAATCTAAACTTCCATTCTTCCTTTAATGTCGATTTTAAATTATACATCGAAATACCAACATTTTCGTTGAATGAGACATTATTTCTCATTCAATAAAAAGCAAGTCCATTTGGAATTTCCTCCATCGTCGCATATTTAACTAATTCTCGATTAAAATTTCCATAACATTTAAAATTTAATCTTAATTTTTAATTTTCTATCAGACCTTAATCCAACTCTTAGTTTTTAAAACCATGAAGTTCCCAAATAAAAGTTTTTATTACTTTAATACTAGGGAATGAAAATTTGTCTGAATGATTTTTGGATTATATGTAAGAGAAATTTAAAAATGAAAATTATTAAAGTAAAATACTCGAAGTTGTACAAAATGACAATAATTATAAATGTTACTTAAAATGGCGGAGCATATTTTTAACTAACTTATCAAAGGACTAATATACAAATAAATTCAACACCGTAGACTTCTTTAAGGGCATTTAAATGTAAGTAATATTTTCTTATTACTACGCGTAATTTATTGTTTACATAGCGTCTGTCCGTGATCACGGCTGCTGCAAAGTAATCGAAACAGCGGGAGTATATAGTTTTAAAAATAATAAAATAACGCCAAGTAATCCGAAAATATTAGATTCATTTAAATGAATATCGCGAAAGTCTTAGATGTCATTCTTTAATTGCAGTTAAAACATAAAAATATAAATTAATTTTGCTACGAAATTCCATAAGACATTTTTAAATTAATTCTCAGTAGTTTATTCACGTCGTTAAGGTCGATTTTTGTTGTTAAAAATAAAATAAGGGCTCACTTTAGTACGAGCTATTATCACTATTTCCCTTCTCTATATAAAGAAAATTCTCGTTGCAAGGGTTGTGTACGCAGTACCTAAATCTCAAGGGAGATCGGCTGAATAGGGAAATGATATACAGCCGACATTTTGTTTACGAATAGGGTTTGTAATAAAACGTTAGCTGTTTAAAGTACGACCATTACCTTGATTTTATACATATAGACATATACAGGGTGACTGGTGAATTACTATCGATACTTGAGGACGTGATATTTGACGATCATATATGACAAAATAAAAATTAATATAACATAAATATTAATAAACTTCAAGTAAAGTTAACCAAAAGTTATGTAATTAACTACGCATCGTGTGAACACCCTACAGATTAGGTATACACACACACACACATACGCGTGCGGCGGCGTGGTGTTGTATCAGCACGCCGCCGCACGCGTCCACACTTGGAACACTTGGAACGTGTCCACACTTTATTTATTCATACGGAAATTTGGTCAAAAATTAAGTACTTATTTTTTTTACATAATTCGAATGAGAATCATGTATCGAGTATTCTCCTTAAACATTGATAGTAATTCACCAGTCACCCTGTATAGTATATAGTATATACCTATAGCCTTATTTTTATATATATAAGATTCGAATTACAGTTTTTGTAACTAATCCAACTTACAATATCCATTTGGTGGTTCTTACATATTTGTATTAAATTAAAATAGATATGTATGAAAATAGAACAAAAAGTCGCCATTATAGATGCAATACGGGAATACTTTTATTCAAAATTCTAATACAATTGAAATTCACCGCACTGCGGCTGAAGATATTATTATATAAGGCTTTACTTTTCTCATGAAAATTTGTTTCTCTCAAAATTAATCTCTATAATACTCCGTTCGGAAATTTCGCCTGTTTAATAACTGAAGATATTAATTTCCCAACAAAATTAAGCAGATATTACGTCGTTACAGCGAAAAATATGTAAAATACTCCGTGTAACTTTTAATCCATTAATCTAGTGACTAAAATTTCGCTTCTCGAAATATTTTGCAGCAGATTTCAATAATTCAGTTACTTTTAGTCGCTTTTTGGTAAGCCGAATACATTCTGTCAATACGGCTAACAATTAAAAAAACGCAAATGTCATTTTGAAATGAAACAATTTTAAGGTCATTGACCGCTCGCGTGGTTGTTAATCATCGGATAGCATTTTATATTTTAAACTCTATCTTTATATAATAAAATTTATTTTCGCATGTCGTATTTCACAGTCACCCTCACCCTCAGTCAGACTAATCGCTCCTGTTTAGTATATTATAGCATTAGAATTGAAATGTCATCCATTTGTTAGTATTTCACATACTCTGTAAAAAGGTTTATACATATGCAAACTATTTTTATAACTTTAATTTAAAAATCGAATTGGTAAAATTAATTTCGATTACTTCTTTGAAATAACTTGAAAACTAAAGAAAGGTTTAACTTTAAGGTCATATACGATATGTTAAGCTTTCTCGTGGCGTCGGTTCGAGCCGAGTTGTTCTCCTATGTCTCGGGTAGGAGGACACTCGGCGAGAACCCTTCGTCGGAGGAGATCCGAGCGGTTCGTCGGCAGGGGGAGGAGCGCCTTATGCGGGAGTGGGGGGAGGACCTGGCGGAGCAGCCGTACGGTAGACGTACAACGGCAGCGCTTCGCCCGGTCCTAGAGCGTTGGATGAGGCGGAAACGCAAACCCCTCACTTTCCGTCTGACGCAGGTCTTAACCGGGCACGGGTGCTTTGGTTACTACCTGTGTCGGACGGCCAGGAGAGAGCCGGGAGAAGGCTGCCATGAGTGCGGCGCTGCGGTGGACTCGGCCCAGCACACCCTCGAGGTGTGCCCGAGATGGGCTGCGCAGCGCCAAGACCTTGTGGCGGCTCTCGGCGGAGTGGACCTGTCGCTTTCGAGTGTCGTGGAGAAGATGCTCGAGAGTGATGGGT